TACTCTAGCCTGGGTGGCAGAGTGAGACCCTGCCTCAAAAAAAATAAAGTCAAAGAAGTTGGGGTAGGGGCGTCAAATCTAAGAGAAGTCAGATCTAAGGAAATAAGGTTGTGGTTATCAGGGAGTGACTTTTTAACACCAGTCCACTGAACGCTATAGACTGCTTTGCAGCGCAGCTCAAAGAGGTAGCAGAGTGTTTGCCCAGAGCCCCGTGTCACAGATGAGGACACAGACCACACTAAGAAACAGAACCCTCCTGGGGTCAGACAGAGGTAGGGCCGAACCAGAATCCCCCACTTCTGCCTCTGGTGCTCAGGGCCAAGCTCATGCACTGTGATAAATCTGGCAGCTCTACATCCAGGGAGTGATGGGTAGGGGGGAGAAAGGGAGGGACAGAGGTCAGGCCACCCCCGCCCACCATACGCATGGTGAGCCACGCCCGGGAGGTCAGGGTTTCATGTCTGACTTTCTAGTAACGGAGCTGGCTCTGCATGGAGCTATCCACCTTCTCTTGCCCAACTGGTGCGGGATGGGCTCAGCCCTGAGCTAGGGACCTGAGCCAGGGTGTTCAGCCTTTAAGAGGTCCAAGCCTTACCAGCCCAACCGCCCAACCAGCACATTCTATAAACAGCTACTTTTCACATCCCTGCAATTAGACTGTCTACCACAGCCTCAGGGCCTCGGGGCCTGATCTGGCCAGTCCTCCCAACTGACCTTCCACCACCCCCTTGTTTGCTGCATTCTGACCATGCTGTCCACCCCCGCTGCCCCGACCCATCTGCTGCTCCTGCCTCAGGGCCTTTGCGCTTGCCTCTCCTTGGAAGGTCCTGGCTCCCAGGTCCTCTCCTCCAGATCTCACTGGTCATCAGGGCCCAGTCACCTCTCCAGGGAGCCCTCCTTGAGCACCGACCCAAGCAGGCCCCTCCTAGTCCCTCCCAGTCCCTCTTAGCCCATCCCCTGCTGCATTTCCTTCTTAGTGCTGATCTTTCCCTGCCCTCCTGGGTGCTAATTTCCTGTTGTACACACAGTTCCCAGCACAGTCCCTGGTACAGAATAGGGCCTCAATTCATAATTGTAACATAAAAGAATGAATAAAACAACAAATTCAGCAGACCAACCAGGACTGAATCAGATCTCCCAGGAATAGATGCTTTTAAAGAAAAAAAGACATTCTAGGGAGCAATTCCCAGAAGAAACCACCTCTTTGTAAGAAACCCCTTCTTTCCTGCTTCCTCCAACCTAAATTTGCCCAACGGCAGCCTTTGACTCTAGGCTAAAGTACTAGGGAAATGCCCACAGCACCACCTTTCACTCCTCCTGGCTTTGCCACCAAAGGGCTGGGCACACCAAGCTTGCAGAACTGAGTTAAACCAGAGAACCATCTCACCACTTACATGAATTTTCTGGGTAGCAACATTTTAAGCCCCTCAAACTTTTCTTAAGATGTCTTTGGCTGGACGCAGTAGCTCACACCTGTAATCCCAGTACTTTGGGAGGCTGAAACAGGCAAATCACTTGAGGCCAGGAGTTTGAGACCAATCTGGCCAACATGGTGAAAGCCCATCTCTACTAAAAATAGAAAAATTATCCAGGCCTGGTGGCGGATGTCTGTAATCCCAGCTACTCAGGAGGATGAGGCAGGAGAATTTCTTGGACCCAGTAGACAGAAGTTGCAGTGAGCGGAGATCATACCACTGTACTCCAGCCTGGGCAACAGAGCGAGACTATGTCTCCAAAAAAAGAAAAAAAAAAGTTTTTGATGAAATGCTCATTAAAATGAATAATGCATTCTTCATACAATACGCTGACCTCAATTGAACTTCTACTTGACAGTTTGGGGTCACCAGGCTCACTTATCATGTAACTGTCCTATAGCATAGGGATGCTCATGGTGTGGCGTGTGGCAATGGAGGCACCACACCCAGGGGCTCAGGCCTCAGTGCTGTGCCTGTGTTCAGGGTCGTTTCTGTGTCCTCCCTGGCTGTCAGTGATCACCTCTTGCTGCTCATCACTCCATAGTCTCTACCACAACTTCAAATCTGCTATGATCTGAAAAACCTGTTAGAACTGTGTGCAAACCAAGAATAAACAGGACCTGCCTGAAAACTCAAGAAGCTTTCCTTTAAACAGGGTGCATGGGATTTGGGACATCTAGCTTGAGGCTCAGGGAAGATTTTCTCATCCTTCTAGGTTCCAGCTGTGCCTACAAAGTCAGAGCTGCCTTACAAGAGGCTCAGAGAGCAGCGGAGCCCCCGAACACATGTGGTGATGAGGAGCTAAGTGTCCCAGCACTTCCCCGGGGAGGCGGTGCTGAACCCTAACTCGGAAAGCAGCTGTTCTGTGGCTCCACCATAAAGCCCAGCAGCGCTCAGCAAAGCAAAGCGCGGGAGAGGCTTTTCAAAGTTCTGTGAAATCTTGTGGCTCCAAACACGTTTCCCTCAGCTTCACTCTCCTTCACTTAGGAAAACAGAGCTCTCAAGGGAGGCTTTGTGAGCAAAAAACCCAGGGCTGGTGCTGAGCACGCATTTTGACAGTTACAGCAAGGCTCCGGAGAGACAGTTTTCAAAGCAAAACAGAACCCAGGGGCCCTGCACACAGAGACTCACTGTGAAATCAGCTCTGATTCCAAATACCTTGTTTTCACCCAATTATGCCTTAGGAGGAAACTCTGTGCTTCTTTCTCTCTCTCCAATAAAAAAAAAAAATTTTTTTCAAGATGGAATCTCACTCTGTTGCCAGGCTGGAGTGCGGTGGCACTATCTCAGCTCAGTGCAGACTTAGCCTCCCAGGCTCAAGCAATTCTCCTGCATAAGCCTCCCAAGTAGCTGAGATTACAGGCACTCACCACCAAGCCTGGGTAATTTTTGTACTTTTAGCAGAGAGGGGATTTTGCAATGTTGGCCAAGCTAGTCTCAAACTCCTGACCTCAGGTGATCCACCTGCCTTAGCCTCCCAAAGTGCTGGGATTACAGCACTTTGCTTTTTTATTTTTATAAAATTATTTTTAAGTACATTTTTATTTATAAAAATATTTATAAAATTTTTTTAAAAAATTTTCTGAGGCTGGGCACAATAGCTCTTGCCTGTAATCCCAACACTTTAGGAGGCCAAAGCTGGAGACTCGCTTGAGCTCCGGAGTCTAAGACCAGCCTGGGCAACATAGTGAGAGCTCAACTCTACAAAACAATACAAAAATTAGCTGGGTGTGTGACGCACACCTGTGGCCCCAGCTATTTGGGAGGCTGAGGTGGGAGGATCACTTGAGCCAGGGAGGTTCATGCCACTGTGCTCCAGCCTGGGCAACAGAGGGAGGTCCTGTCTCAAAAATAAATAAATAAGTAAGTAAATAAATAAATAAATTTCTTTGTCATTAAAAAAAAAATCAGCCTCTGTCCCCTGTGTTTCTTCCTTTCTGTGCTGGCTAAGCCTCCCACTGAATGAGTCTAAGGGGCATGCCTACTCGTAGAGGTCCAGCTCCGTTCTGAGCTGCTGGGTAGGCGAGCTGAACCTCTCAGAGCACCGCCTGGAGTCAGATCTCCCATTCCTCACTCCTATCTTGGCTCCTGCAGTCCTGGGAAGGGGGCTGACCTGCAGTCACAAGGCCTTTCCAATCCCTCTACTCCAGGGACCTCACGGAGCTTTGAGAAACAGCAACACAGGCCACGGGGGTCATGGGGGGGAGTGTGGTCTTTGAAGGCAGGTGGACGAGAGTGAATCTGGCTTCCAGCACTTTCTGCTCCCTGCATGACTTAATGCTGACAAACCACTTAGTCTCCCTGAACCTTGCTTTTCTCATCAGCAAAATGGAAATAACACTCACTGAAGATCAAGGAGACAATACACACCAAGTGAGGCAGCAGCTCAAATGGGCAGTCCTAGATGGTAGTTAAGGCCGGGCACAGTGGCTCATGTTTGTAATCCCAACACTGGGAGGCCAAGGTGGGCAAATCACTTGAGGCCAGGAGATCGAGACCAGCCTGGTTAACATGGTGAAACCCCATGTCTACTAAAAATACAAAAAATTAGCTGGGCATGGTGGTGTGGGCCTGTAATTCCAGCTGCTAGGGAGGCTGAGGCAGGAGAATTGCTTGAAGTCAGGAGGCGGAGGTTGCAATGAGCCGAGATCGAGCCACTGTACTCCAGCCTGGGCAACAGAATGAGACTCTAAAACCAGAAACTAAATAGTAGTTAGTGTTATCATTATTGAGAATACCTAGAGCACAGCAGTCAGTCCAAGTTCTCAACCCTGGCTACATTTTAAAGTGTACTAGGCAGCGTTTAAAAGATTCTGAGGTCCAGGATGGGGTCGATGTCTCCATTCGGCTACGGTCACAAAAATTCCCTTTTCACCACGCATTCCACTCCCTTTCCCTCCACAAATCAATGCCCATGCATCCTTCCTACTGGCTCAAAGTCACCACTTCCAGGAGGCCCTCCACTGGTCTCCTCCAATAGCCAAAGGTGAATCAGAATTCACATGGAACATGCTGCCGGATGGTAGCCTTTTATTATGACTCAGGCCCTACATGACGAACTACGAACAGCTTGCAGTATTGGGCCACCAGAAGTATGTGGAGGTGTCTGGATATTTGCACAGAAACATCCTGAGTCTCCTGCCACTTTGAGTCCTCCTGCTTGCTGACTGGAGTTTTCCATCTATTCTTAGTTTCAGCAATTATAGGTTGCTTTCTCAGTACAGGTTCCTCGAATAGCGTCAACCTCCCCTCTAATCTGGATTGAGAAGGTAGATGAACCTGCTGGTTCAAACTGTGTGTAGACCAAGAAGAGACAGACCTGGGGAAGACTCCTGTGGGGCAAATCTCGAGCTTAGGATCCCAGTCCCCGCTCTCACCAGCCGTGGCCCCTCAGTGTACCTCGGTTTGCCCGGCCAGATGAGATGGTTTCCAGGGAGTCTAACATTTGGTGTTTCACTAAATTCTTCCAAGCATGGAATTATTGTAGGTTTTCATATCAAGGCGCAGGCAGGGAAGTTGGGTTACCTGGTCTTGGAGCTTCTGGAACATTAGAGGGTGTGGTTCTTCCAGGATCTTCTCATTGAGCCGAGACTGCCCCTCCACGTTGACCTGTGATGAGGCCTTGCTGGACAGAAAGGTCATGTAGATCTCCTTCGCCTTTTCCTGCATCTGGAGGAGACAGATGGGGCCTGTGTACTATCTGCACACCCAGCCTTCCTGGCCTGAGCCCTGCTCTCCCCTCCAGCCAGGCCCAGAGGAGCTGCTGTGGCAAGAGAAAGGTATCCCCCGCAGCCCGGGCATTCTCAGGCCACTCCAGAGAGAATTTCTATCTGTGACAGCCCACACCGCCAAGCCCCTACCCTCTTCATACGTCTGCAGCCACATCTCCTGGAACAAAATTGCTGCACTAACCATTCAGAATCGATGACAGAAAGAATCCCGGCCTGCAGAGAGCGCTCAGTACCACTCATAACCATCCTGTGGCTGGGCGCAGTGACTCACGCCTGTAATCCCAGCACTTTGGGAGGCCAAGGCAGGTGGATCATTTGGGGTCAGGAGTTTGAGACCAGCCTGGCCAACATGGTGAAACCCCATCTCTACTAAAAATACAAAAATTAGCTGGGTGTGGTGGTGCACTCCTGTAATCCCAGCTAGTCGGGAGGCTGAGGCAGGAGAATTGCTTGAACCCAGAAGACAGAGGTTGCAGTGAGCCAAGATTGCTCCACTGAACTCCAGCCTGGGTGACAGAATGAGACTCTGTCTCAAAAAAAAAAAAAAAAAAAAAAAAAATCAAGTTAAAGCATGCCTATCCCTACCAGTTACCAAGCACCCACTAGGCTGCAGACACCTGTTTGGAATGGTCCCACTTCCTTAATCCCCTGGAGATGCAGCAAAGAGCATTTTCCTGTTAGTGCCATGAGGACACAGAGGGCAGGAGAGGTGGCATGGCTTATACGAGAGCCTCTGGGAGCCTCAGGACTGTTTGGATCCAAGGCCTCTGAATTCTGCTCAGTTCCGCTTCCGAGAGACATACTGGCCCCTCAGGTTGAGCGGTCTGCGGCCCTCCCAGGCAGGTGCGTTTCCTTTTAGGTCAGGAGAGACTGAGCAAGAACAGCGGAGAAAACACTCATTGCCCACCCTCAAGTCCGAGTGCCATCCTGCTGGGAAGCACCGACTTCCTGTTTCACTGGAAACGCACCGAGGCTGGCTTAGGGCACTCACTGACGGTAAGGAGACGACCTCACAGTAAGAACTGTGTCATCAGGACAGTGTGCCTCACCGCAGGGCTGCAGGCACAGGAGCCCTCTCCTCCAGGACTTCCCCGAGGGCTCTATTTTCTTTTAGAGAAAGGAGACTTCCTGTGCTCATACCTCACCAACGGCAAAAGCAGGGCTGTTTCTCTGAACGTTAGACTCTAAAGCATGACCTTACCCTACAAAGCAAGGCAGACAACAAATGCCTCTAAAAGGCAGCCACACAGTTATGACGCGTGTGGGGGGAGGGGAAGGGGGAAGGGGGCAGGGTCCTGGAAAACCGCCTTTCTCTCCATGAGCCCACCTGGGGGTCCACATGTGCTGTGGAGCTTGGTTTGGGAAATCCCAGGCTCTGCAAACCTTCTGCCCTTAAGGAAGGTGGTTACCAAAAGGTTTTGACAGCTGGCACGTGAAAGGAAGGAAGAGTAACCCTTTCTTTAGTTCAGGGGACTGAAGACAAAAGACCCTGCGAAGCCGCAGCCTGGCCATGTCATATTCTCTGGGAAAGCATGCCTCGCCAGCACCTGCAGGCAGACAGCCCAGGTTGGGTGAATGCCCAAAGCCATGCTGTCCACCCTCGCTTTACCGTCAATAGAAGCAATGCATCCATGCCAGACTTAGTGACGCAGGAGTCTCTCCAGACAAGCCTGGCTATCCAGGGGACAGGTCTGGGGGCTGTCCTCGAGACCCAAGGGGGTAGCACCTAGGAGCTGGTCCTGCTCGCCTCTCCAAGACCCACCGGCTCCATGAAGCCACAGCCTCCCACCCACCACCCCCATTCTGTCAGGAAGTAACACTTCTGGAAAACCACTTCCTGTTTTAAAGCCACTTCATGAAAGGAGAATTTCAGCCAGGCAGATGAGCAAACTCCATGCAGAGTTCTGGGGGCAGAAATCATTTTAGACCCCCCCTTCCCTTGAATATTCACACACACACACACGCACACACACACACACACACACGTGCACACATGCACACACATACACACATGAATCCAGGCCACCTTGAGTAATTCTGAACAGAGAATTTCAATGAGTGGCTTGAGTCTTTGAGGTGGGGCAGAAGGGGCCTGGGGAGAGGAAGTAGGTTCTGGGACCACAGGAATTCAAGCCTCGAGGGTCTCAGCCCTGCCCTCTCCCACTGGCCGCCCCTCCGGAGTTAGTGTGAGAACAGCGCAGGGCCGAGGCCCTGGCCGATGAGATACACACCGTGAGCGGCTCCAGAGCTCAGCTTATCTCGGCCGGGCTAGGAAGTATGACTGAAAAGGGAAACCCTGACGCTGTGACCACAAGCCAGTCACGGGAAGGCCTGGTGTCCAGGCTGAGGACGAGTGAAAAAGAAGAACCAGTCTCCGGAGATACGTTGGTAGATTTTTCCAGAGCTTTGTTAACTCTATTCTAGCTACTGTTTGGATAGGAAGAGAACTGGGGGAGTTGATTCTGTGTCTGTGGCCTGGAAGGATGGCCGGCTTCTCTTAGACGGCCCTGACTCACGCGGCTGGCTACAGCCTGGACCAGAGAGCCTCTTTCTCCCTGGGGACACCCGATGTGCCCAACATCTGAGGGTGTCCTGGCAGGTGCTGGAGAAGGGCCCCACCTGGGCCCATCAACTCGGGGACTACCCATGGAGCACCTGCACCCCACCTGCACCCTCCAGGCACCGCACGAGGCTGGGGCCTTTCTTCGAGGCCTGGCAGTGCCTCGGCTGTGACAACGCTCAGCCAGACGTCAGCTCTCAAACCCTGCTCCCTGCAGGTGCATGATCAGGAGAAGCAAATTCACTTTCCTATCAGCTCCAGACACACACATCTATGCAGACAAACTGTAAAGTCACCAGGAGCCCAAAGCTCAGAGGAGCACTGCCCACACCAGCCCCTCCCTCCCCTATCAGCATGCTTGAACTTTCCCACCAGGAAAATAAAAGAGCCGCCCTTGCCCAAGCTGCAACCTCCACCTCCTGAGTTCAAGCAATTCTCCTGCCTCAGCCTCCCCAGTAGCGGGGGTTACGGGTGTGCGCCACCAAGCCCGGCTAATTTTTTCTATTTTTAGTAGAGACAGAGTTTCACCAAGTTGGCAGGCTGGTCGCAAACTCCTGGCTTCAAGTGACCCACCCGCCTCAGCCTCCCTAAGTGCTGGGATTACAGGCGTGAGCCACTGTGCCTGGCCCCAATTCCTTTTTGAAATATCTCAAAATAAAAGCATGCACCCATGTCTCCATCACCCCTCCCATTCTCGCCTCATGCCACACCCAGGCTTCTGCCCAGCCAGCGCAGCTCCACCAGCCCACTGACGCCCCGCAGGCAGCAAGGCCCCTCAGACCTTCCTCTGCAGCGAGCTTGCCCCGGCCCTGCTCAGCACCACTGTCTTCTCACTTTCCCCACCTTGTAAGAGCCTGTCCTCTCAGGATCCCCAACAACTCCCTGTGTCTGTCTCCCGGCTTGTCTCCCCATCCCCTCTGTGAGTTCTGGGCTTTCCCAGACTTCTCTCCTTGGCTGACAACTCTAACGCCGTGTTCCCCCCAGATTTCAGCCCAACCATCCCCCAGGCTACTGACCCACATAGCCAACTGGTTTCTAGCAACATGGACTTGGACATCCCACCGACACCTCGAATTAACACAAAGGAAAGGGGTGGTCTCCTGGCTGGCAGAGCCCACAGCCACTACTCTGGGAAGCTGGAAACTTCAATCCCCTGTAGCCAGTCCCCACCCCCATCCCATCTGCTGGCGTCCGGCTCCTCTCCACCCCATCCTCTGCCAGAGATGGAATGCAGGAGAGAATTCCTAGGAAAATGAAAGGATCAAGACACTAACTTTATTCATATCAATTTCAGAAAGAAAATGAGGCAAAGAAAATATCCAGTAAATGATATGAGAATATTTTCAAGAACTGGCTCAGGAAATGGATAGCAGTCAGAGGAACAGCAGATGACTCTGCAGAGACATGGAAAAATGAACTGAAGCCCCTGCACAGGCGGGGAAGGGGTGCCAACGAGAAGCACATCCAGAGACGGTAGGAGCTCGAGGGCACTGGGAGCCCAGATGAAACTGATGAGGGCGGCAGAAAGAAGCCATCAGACCCCCAGGTCCTCCGCCCCCTCTGCCAACCCTGAGCAGTCAGGTGGCTCCCTCCCCACCTTCAACAGAAGACTTGAATTTTCTTTTCTCAAGAAACGGACCCAGGGAGGCTCCAGAACAGAGGCACAGAGGATGGCAAGAATGAGATGCCAAACTGAATAAAGGGATTCGGGGAAATTCCAAATATAGACCCTCCCAGCAAACTTCTCCTGACACGGTTAATTAGAAATACATTTAGTTTAGGAAAATAGCAGGCTTGTGCCCCACCAAGAAGAGACTAGAGGTCCGTTGTCTGGAGAAAATAAAAAGGCAGAAAAAACTCAATAGGAGGATTTGAAGATAAAGTGGAAACCTCCAAAAGCCAAAAAAAAAAAAATTTAAAAATAGGAAGAATAAAAGATAAAATTCAGGGCTCAATGCAGGGGTGAAAGATCATCCTTGGAAAAGAGACCAGAGACAATGGGAGAAAAAAAAGTTACTAAAATGATGATCGTAATAATAACAACATAAGACCATTTCCCAGAACTATACATTTCCAGATAATAAGGCTCCCCAAAGAATCCACACAATGAATGATCTCTGTCTCCACCTCCAAAGCCCCTGACTGAACAATTTTAGAATATTGGAGATGAAAAGATCCTGACCAGGTGGAGTGGCTCACACCTGTAATCCCAGCACTTTGGGAGGCTGAGGTAGGAGGATTTCTTTTGAGACCAGCCGAGGCAACGTGGTAAGATTGCTTAAACCCAGGAGGTCCAGACTGCAAAGAGCCGTGATCTCACTATATTCCAGCCTGGGTGACAGAGTGAGACCCTGTCTCAAAAAGAAAGGGAAAATGCC